ATGATGTGGAGAAACTGGAGCCCTCACACACTGCTGGAGGGAATGTAAAATCGTGCAGCCACTTTGGAAAATAGTCTGGCAGTTCCTCGAAATTTAAACACAGGGTTACCATGTGACCCAGCGATTCCACCCCTAGGTATATACCCAAGAAATTTGTAAACATATGTTCATACCGAAATTTGCACATGAATATTCATAACAGCATTATTCATAATAGCCCAAAACTGGAAACAACCCAAATGTCCATCGACTGATGAGTGGATAAACAAAACGCAGTATAACCATACAGTGGAATGTAACTCAGCAATAAAGAGGAATGAAGCACTGACACATGCTACAACGTGGGTGAACCTTGAAAACATTATGCTAAATGAAATGTCAGTCACAGAAGGCCACACATTGCATTCCACTTACATGAAATGTCCGGAGTAGGCGAATTCATAAAAGACAAAAGTCGATTATGGTTGCCTAGGACTGGGGGGCTTGAGGGAAAATGGGGAGCGACTGCATGGGGTTTCTTTGGGGAGTAATGAAAATGCTCTAAACTGGATTGTGGTTGCACAACTCTGTGATTATACTAAAACACACTGAATTGTACACTAAATGGGTGAACTTTGTGGCATGTGATTAGATCTCAAAAAAGCTGTTAATAAGAGCAAAAAACAAAAAGAAGACAGAGAGGAGACTTCCCTGGTGGCGCAGGGGTTTAGAATCTGCCTGCCAATGCAGGGGACACGGGTTCCAGCCCTGGTCCGGGAAGATCCCACATGCCGCGGAGCAACTAAGCCCGTGCACCAAAACTACTGAGCCTGCACTCTAGAGCCTGCGAGCCACAACTACTGAAGCCGGTGTGCCTAGAGCCCGTGCTCCGCACCGCAACAAAGAGTAGCCCCCGCTCACCACAACTAGAGAGAAACCACACACAGCCTGGACAGGCAACAATCCTCCAGGCCGGAATCAAGCCCGGAGGGGCTCCAGTTGGCTCTAGGGCCGCACCCGTGGCTCTCTCTAGCATGTTAAATTGCTAAACATAAAAGGTAAATATGCATATGAGCGGAAGCAGTCAACCTTAGAACGCTTTGAAAACAGAGAGGTTTCCTGCCCATAACGGGAGCACAGAGGCCCACAGCAGAAGAGGTGGAAGTCGGTGGCAATGTTTCCAGATCATCATGTGAAACAGGCTGCTCTGGCCGAAGTCCTGGGGCAAGGACAGAGGGGCCCAAGGGTTCCATCACACACACACACTGTTTGGCTTCCTACTCTGTAAGGAAGCAGGGGGAGCAAGTTGTAAGAGGCGTGAGGACGATGCCTGGTGAAGCCAGAGCGGCCTCCTGGGACCACCAGACCACCTCACTCAGACGTTTGCTAACGTCTTTCCTAAGACAACCCATCCTTGTAGGGACAAACTGGTGGTGACATTAGACAACGTTGGTGAGAAGCTTTTCCAGGGTGGCAGAGGAAATGGCCAGTTCGTGGTGTGGCTGTGACCTTCAGAATCCCGGGTAAAGTGTAAAGATGGGACATGCACTGGAGCCAAGCCTTAAGGGACAATTTGAGCACGTCCAGATGGATTTCTTGGGTTATAATTACGCTCTAGTAATAGTATGTTTACTTTCTGGATGAACTGAAGCAGTCTCTTGTTGAAAAGAATAACAGCACTCATAGGAGTAAAATATTATTAGATTTTGTGTTCCTTATTTGGGATATTCCAACTTATTTACTTAGTAACATACAGACACATTTTACTGGGAGAGTTATTCATGAATTACTCAGAAATATCACAGTTTTTATTACCCCTAATTTTTCTTAAGAAATAAAAATGAATTTTCCAGAACTTACTGTAAAGTCACCACTTACAGATTTTTTAAAGATAAATTAATTTATATATTTATTTATTTTAGGCTGTGTTGGGTCTTCATTGCTGTGTGTGGGCTTTCTCTAGTTGTGGCGAGGGGGGCTACTCTTCGTTGCGGTGCACGGGCTTCTCATTGCAGTGGCTTCTCTTGTTGCGGAGCATGGGCTCTAGGCACGCGGGCTTCAGCAGTTGTGGCATGTGGGCTCAGTAGTTGTGGCTCAGGGGCTTAGTTACTCCATGGCATGTGGGATCTTCCCGGACCAGGGCTCGAACCCATGTCCCTTGCATTGGCAGGCGGATTCTTAATCACTGAGCCACCAGGGGAGCCCTAAAGGTCTTAAACTGAGGTTTTTCAGAGAACCCCCAAAAGCAGACAGTTCACAGAAATTGACTGTTACCCAAGATTCTCAGAACCGGCTGATGGCTACACAGAATAGACAGCTTGTGCCTAAGACCACTGGCATAAATTCTCCCAGATGTCTGTAACCACTGATTTCCACACGCTCTTTTGCAAACCTTTGTTCTTCATCCTTCGGATCACGTTTTCCCACCTTATGCACTTAAGGTTGTACCCTTCTGATTTACCCTATCATGTTTCCCTTACAAATAACTCACCTAGATCTAGGCCTTACTAGTGATAGCCACCATCCTGATTCTTTTTATTTTTTTAATAAATTTATTTATTTATTTTTTGGCTGCGTTGGGTCTTTGTTGCTGCGCGCAGGCTTTCTCTAGTTGCGGCGAGCGGGGGCTACTCTTTGTTGCGGTGCGCGGGCTTCTCATTGCGGTGGCTTCTCTTGTTGCAGAGCACGGGCTCTAGGCGTGTGGGCTTCAGTACTTGTGGCACTCGGGCTTCAGGAGTTGTGGCTTGCGGGCTCTACAGCGCAGGTTCAGTAGTTGTGGTGCACAGGTTTAGTTGCCCCAGCATGTGGGATCTTCCCGGACCAGGGCTCGAACCCATGTCCCCTGCGTTGGCAGGTGGATTCTTAACCACTGAGCCACCAGGGAAGCCCCTACCATCCTGATTCTTTAAATCGGTTCTCCCAAGCTATCGCTAGGGAAGCCAACATTTAAAAATGTTATAAAGTATGTTACACCAACGTAATTATGATCCTCTTTGTAGGCGATACATAAAAAAGGAAAATGCCCTCCCATCAGGAGAGAACAGTTCAGCTGCCTTGCAACGTATCTGACTGTTCGTCACAGCACCACCCACAGACAATACACCTACAGCTCCACTGAGGTTGACCCTGTGTCTCACATGGACATCTGATTCATGGGTGCCACCCCAGGACCTCAGCTAACTGCCCTGTGGGTCTCTGAGACTGTAACAAGTGAACGACTCCCCAGTACCCTCAGCGAACGATGCCTCCTTGCAAAGTATCTAACGGTAGAACACCTTCTGAGGGACATAATAATACCTGGTGGAGGCTCTTGGCCCCAACCAGAGGGACTGGACAGCTTTAGTGGTCATCAAAAATGTGTCCCTCACTTAGGGTGATACAGCGAATGATACAGCCTAGGGCATGGCGTGGGGGGCAGGACAAAGCAGTCTGACTGCCTAGTGCAAGTAGTTACAGATAACAGTATGACCTTGGATCTTCTGGGCAACCAGGGGAGTTTGTGCCCCTCCTGGCGCTTCATTCTGAGCCTGGATTCACAGTACAGGGGAGGTGGAACAGTCTACGTCAAGGCTACATGAGAGAGCAACCTGCATACTGGGGACTTAGGGAGCAGGTGGGACCGGTTTTCCTGGTCAGCCCTGGGAAGCCTTAAATCATGCTTCTAGAGGGCCTTCCTTCCAGCACCTTCTCGTAATACCTGCAGTCACACTTGTCTGTCTCATCCTTCCACATCTACTGTCTAGAATATCAACTGCTTTCGCGTATAGTCCCAGCAAATGGCTCAGAGACAAAAACGGGATAAAACCTCCCCGACTGACTGTGACCTGACGATCAGACCTCCACCGATGACCCTTCATAGAGGCTGGTTTGGTGGCAGTGGTGAAGATCTGGACAAGCCCTGGTGGCCTCTCCTGCAGCTCTGACTGAGGAGGGACGACCAGAAAGGGGACTGAGAATTAACAAACAAACAGAAACATGTCCTCATATCCCTAGAGAAAGCCTGTACCCGATAGCTCTGGTCAGACCTCACATGACCCTAATAATCAGTGGACACACCTCGGAAAGCCAATCAATCGATGAGGGCGTGAGCGTGGAAAGTCAGCCAGCTCTGGGCCAGTTCACTCAGCGATCAGGCTTCTGAGGCTGGTGTGAGCCCAGTCTCCCTCAGCAGCCCGCAAAGGCATGCTGCTGAGACTGACATCACCTGCCTTTAACCAGCCCAACTCCACACGAGCTCTTTCCCCAAACTCTAGGCAAAACCAGCGGCTTGCTTTGCTCAACAAGACTGCCGGAGCAGCATAGCAATTCTTACTTAAGTAAGCAATAAATTCAGCTGTCTGACCTCGGGTTACTAAGTGATGGTATCCATTCTCTGATACTTTCATTCATTCATTCAACAAATCCTTCACTGAGTGTCTATGGCTGCTGGGCCTGTTCTAGGTGCTGGGGATACAGCAGTGTTTATGGAACCAGTGAACGTGGACTGTCCAGCACTCAGCCGAGAGGTGCCCCAAGGCCCCAGAGCTCAGCAGCAGAGGGCGCATGAGCCCTGAGCTCTCTAGGAGGCCCGCCCCTTGCCAGGCCAGTGGCGGGTGTACAAAGACCCAGGTGCTCCCCAGTCCAGCCTCTGCTGCTGCTGCACCCCGTGTAACCACCCCTCCCCTCCCACCAGCTTCCTTGGCAGGACAAGGGGAGCTGGGGCTACTGAGGCCTCCGTGCTCTGCTGCTTCTAAGTGTCAGCTCCTCCTGAGCCCACAGCTCTGGCTGCACACGCTGACCCCCAGGTCTCTACCCCTGTGCTCCCCGTGCCCCCCCAAAACCCGTTTCTGTGCCTCTGGCTGACACCAAGCGTGCTCTCCCCGTAGCATCCCCTCTTCTTCTGTCAGCCCTCATCCCATGGGCCGTATCCCAGCAGCAGAGAGCACCTGCCCAGGAGCCCCAGCCATCCAGGCACCAGGGGAGGAGCCGGCACCCAGGCCCTTCTCAGGGGTCCTCGCGATGGCTCGCCCCAGGGCACTCACCCACGCAGTCCTTCCGGTTCCAGTGGAGGCGCTTCCCTGGGGGGCAGATGCATTCGTAGCTGCCCTTGGTGTTGACACAGCCCTGGTCGCAGCTCCCGTTGTTCATGCTGCACTCGTCCACATCTGGAAGCACAGGTAGGCGTAAGGGCAGGAGGGGGGGGCTGGACGGTCCAGCCGAGGCCACACCCTTGGGGCTGGCAGGGCAGGACCCACCCAGGACAAGAGGGCCGAGAATCCCCTGACCCTGACCCCAGCCTGATACTGTCACTGGATGCAGACATGTGGTTGCACACGACACACACACGAGCTTACACACACACAGGGCTCCTGCAGACACCAACACACATCCCTCTCCCAAGAACCTCAGTGGTTTGCTGAACTTGGGCAGCTGAGCCCAGACTTGAGGGAGGGCACAGAAATGGCACAAAATAAAGTTGCAGTCAGGTCTTGGGGGGCCGGAATGACCAGCACCGGCCCCGGGGTCCTGAGGCCGTATCTCACTGTGGGACTTCGGACGTGCCCTTCCCAGCCAGTTTCCCTCCTGCACAACAGGCACTTGGGCGCATGAAGTCTCCCCTGAGGCCCCGCCTTCTTTTGGGCCAAAGACCTGTGTGCAGAAGCTGGCGCCCAGGTTTTTGGGAGTCCCTCCAGAAGAATCTGCAGCTCACCCCACGGGCCACGCCCCTCGCACCAGCTGTGCCTGAGCCCACCTAAACGTCACAGCTGCCCAGCAGAGGAAGTGTGGCTACCACCAGGTCAAAGGAAAGGGAGAGACACCAGGGACCTCAGGGCCATTCTTGACACCCCCGCCAGCTTCACCCCCCAAGCCTGTACATCCCCATGTCCCATCATCCGTGGCACCTAAAGGCATCTAGAACCTTCCCTGTCTCCGCATCCCTCCCCAGCCTACCCGGGCTCCAGTAGCTCTCACTCCCATGCCTGGAGCCGTGTCCCCACTGGTGCCCTGGGTTCCATTCTCCTAAACACGTGGCAGCTGGAGGGACCTCGTTACACGAACTTGAGCCCGTCACATCCCTGCATAAACCCTCCAATGGCTTCTCATAGCACTGGGAATAAAGCCACAAGTCCCCTGGGGCTCATGAAGCCCTGTGTCCCCTCTGTCTGCACCTCCCACCGTGTGCCCCTTCCCTCATGGGACTCTAGCCCCACTGGCTGCCTCTCGGTCCCTCTGTGCTCCCTCTGCCTCAGTGCTTTTGCACACGCTGACCCCTCTGGCACGCTTCCCCCACCGTGACCCAAACACTCCTCCTTTAGGAGCCCCCCATTGTCCCCACCCTCTGCCCTTCTCTGTTGTTACCCCCTGTCACTGGAATGAACTGTTTGTGGGATACTCTGTGCAGCCATCCTCCCTTCCGGACTGGGGTTCCCCAGAAACTGCTGTTTCCACGCCCGTGTCCACAGCCTGGCTGAGGCCTGGCACCCAGTGGATGCTTGCTGCCCATCCCCCCACCCTCCTGCCTTACCCTTGGCTGAGCCCCTCTGCCCACCAGTCCCTCCCAGGCCCGTCAGAGTCAAGGTCAAGGTCGGGGTGTGGGGTGCAGTGCAGGTGGCCGTGCGGCCGGGCGCGTGCCTCTGGGGGGAGGTGGCCCTGGCGGGCGAGCTGCAGACCTCCGCAGTGGGTTGTCCCATAGAGTGTGTAGCCGCGGCGGCACAGGCACTGGAAGCTGCCCGGGGAGTTGATGCAGATGTGGTCACAGGTCCGCTCGAAGGAGCACTCGTCGATGTCTGTGTGGCCACAGGGAGACAAAGTTTGGGAGGAGGTTCAGGGTGTGGTGGATGGCACGGCCTGCCCCTCGCTCAGTCACTCAACAGACCTCTGTGCCCGACAGTCCTGGGGCCCCAGGCTCGGCGCACAGCCGACACACAGCAAACGTCAGACTTCGTGTCGCTGCCCAATTTTCCATTCTGTCTCCATTAGCCTCATGTGTCTGGGTGAGGAGCTGCCTCACATCTTTTCTGGAGGTGGGCAGGGTAGAAATATTTTGAGTAGAAGGAATCATTACGAATCCCTGCCATTTTGATATCTCCCATTCCAGTGTGATTAGGGTAGGTATTTAATCCACACCTGCAGGAAACTAACGGGCTTGCCTGAGGAAGGGGCTGAACTGGGACATGAAAACAGACCACTTGAATGCCGACCAAAGTGTGTTCCCCCATCACCCCAAGATGTCTCTGGAGAAGGCACAGACAGAAAGGGGGGTGGGGGTAGGGAAGATGCTACCCACGAGGAATAACAAAGTAGCCTTGAGAGTATGTGACATTTGATTCTGACCACCCTGGCAGCGAGGGTAAAAAGGGAACGAGGGAGGGCCACCGAGTGCTTGCTACTGGAAAGGAGGAAATGAACTACGTGTTTGCAGGAGACACATCTATCCTGGCTGTAAGTTCTGAGCAGGGTGGCCCCCATGGGACAGTTGATGGGGATTCCGAGGGCAAGGCAGACACTGACCTGCCTCTCCATGGGCACTGTAGCTGGAATGTATTCTTTGAATACATCTGGTCACATGACTACAGACGCACTCATAACATACGTGTTTGTAACAACGCTAGAACGAGGAGGAATCACTGCGGATGCTCAAAGGAAGATGTGATTCCTCCAGGGGGTGGATCTGGGAAGACCTCCTGGTGCTGTGGCACCTGGGCTAGACCCTGAAGGATGGGGCTAGCCTGGAGTGAAGGAATGAGAGTCGGGGAAGGGCACTCCGGGCAAAGGCTGGGAGGTGACAGCACTGGACCCTCAGGGGTTTTGTGGTGCTCAGGGGGGCTGGGGAGGTATCTGGGGTCCCCATCCCAAGGGCCCTGAGTGCCTGCTGGAGCTGGGGACCCAGGGGCTGTGCTGGAGCAGGGCTGGGCCGGAGTCGCCGGGCCTTGCAGAGCTGAGTCAGGAAGAGGGTGGAGCAGCCCCCGCCATCGCCTCCTCTGCGGCCACTGCTGCCCGCCCCTCTCTCAGGGCAGCTGGGGATGCAAAGCCAAGGGCCCTCCCGCAGCCCTCCACAGAACGCGGCAAGGCAGACGGAGAGACAAAGTCAAAGTGCAGAGGAGCCTCGATCGGAGCCTGGACAGGTGCCGTGCTCCCAGCGGGCCCCTGTGCCCTGAGAGGAAGACAGGGCCAGGTCGCCCGAGCAGGGAGGCGGAGGCCGAGCCCAGGGAAGGGAAGCGACAGGCTCAGGTCACGTGCTGAGCCCCAGGGCAGGCTGGCCCTGGACCCTCCCTTACCAGCCTCTGCTCTCGCCTTCCTTGGGGCCCTCAGGGCCTCGTGCTGCCCCAGGCCGGCCTCTGAGCACCACTACGAGGCAGATGCTGCAACCGCAAGCCAGATGCGGCCCGGTGCAGCCTGTGGCTCCTGGGACCTCGTGGAGATGCAACGACGGGACGGCAACAGGGTAACAGCGATGGAACTGAGCCGGCCCCACCCTCTGCGTGTATCACCGAAGCCAGCTCCTTCTCAATGGCCCCATCTAGCTCCACGGGGCTCCTTCTGGCTCCTCACACCCCCTCAGCCCAACAGCACCACTTCCTGGTTGGGTTTGCCTCCCTGGCTCCTCCTGGAAGATGCCTATTCATCCTTCAAGCACTTCCCCAGCGTCCCCTCCCCCAAAGCCTTCCCTGACCCGTCTCTCCCCTGCCCATCCTCTGGGCCCTCACTGCATCCAGGATGTCTGCGGGACTTGTCCCGGGCTATGATGCTTGGCTTGTGCCCAGGTCTCTCTTCCCATTACCCCTGCTCCTGGCAGGTGCCCAGGGACCCTGAGGGAGGGCTGCTGGAGCACGCCTGCCGCGTGCTACAGCTTCCACCAGGTGGCAGCATCCACCTGGCCTCTGAAGCCACTGACGGTGGCCTGGGAGGCCCCCTCTGGAGGGAGGAGCCAGCGCCACCTGGGACACGGGCCGACCCCTCCCTGGGCCTCAGTTCCCGTCTATATCAGGGAGAGATGGGGCTGGATGGCTTCTCAGGGCCCCTGGAATCATAAAGGACGGGAAGACAGGAGGGCAAGCGCACAGGCTAGGGACACAAAAACTACCCCCGGCCCCTCAGGCCCGGCCCGGCCGGCGGACAAGCCCACCCCAGGCTCGCCTACCCTCCTGGGAGCCTGTGTGGCCCGAGAGGGGCGGGACCCCACGAGGACCAGGGCGGCTCACCTTGGCACGTCCGCTCGTCGGTCAGCAGCTTGTACCCCTTCCGGCAGCCGCACTCGAAGCTGCCCACGGTGTTGCGGCAGAAGTGGTCGCAGCCTCCGTTGTTGACCAGGCACTCGTTGATGTCTGCGGAGCCGGGCGGCAGGACGGGGCGAAGAGAGTGGGCTGGGCTGCGCTGCCCGGGCCGCCTCGGGTCCCCCGGCTGAGCCCAGGACGGGGGGCTGGCTCACAGCCGTGGGGGTGGGAGGACAGGAGACACCGCTGCCCCCAGGACTTGGCGAGCCTGGCGTTTGTGCACCGAAGGGAGGGGAACTGGTGTCTGCGGTGCCGGGCCAAACAACAGGGACCGGGACGCTCCCACGTCCTCTCATCCCCGGGGAGGTGCCAGGGAGGCGGGGAGGTGCCAGGGAAGCAGGGAGGCCGGGAGCAGGGGGCTGCTTCCCAGAGGCTGTGACTCTGGGCTGGGCGAGCTACTGGACCCCTGGGGCCTCGGCTCCCTGTCTGTTAAAATAGGGATCAGAGGCGCCCCTACTTGGAAGGACATCACGAGGATGAAATGAAATAACATCCCTAAGGCGCCGCTGCTCAGCCAGGGCCCAAACAACTCTTTAAAAAGTAGGTTTATTGCTACTGCTTTACTGACGGGGAGACCGAGGCCGGGAAGGTGACTGGATCCAGGTGCCGCGGCTGGTGGCGGGAACGGGCAT